AGATTGCGATTAACACAGTGACTTACAACTGGTCAAGGTGCAGAGAATAGTAGTGTCCAGAATGTTTATGCCTAAAGAGAACATGTATACCCCTAATTCCCTTCCCTGAAGGGCTCAGAGATCACTGTGGAACAGAAGCTGGAAAGAATGTAAAACAAAACAAAAACCAACCAAACGAACAAAAAAACCAAACTACAACAAAAACAGAGTCAATGAATTACAAGGAAACATTATCTTCTAGATACAGTAGCCTGAACATGAGTTCACAGTGGTTGGTATAGCATGTGCAAAACTCATCAAGCCCAAGACAAACCAAATTCCAGCAGGGAGAGGGGAGTGGGGTACACAATCCCACTCCTTGCCATGGAACTGTTGACAATTGTTAGCTGTTTCAAGGACAGTTAAGTTTTTTAAAGCCCTGATAAACATCTATGCTCTAGTGAAAGACCACACATCCAATGTATAGGCAGCTCAAATTCGTTTTGAAATTTAAGACATAAAATTGGGCGTCTGTTTTAGGAAACCTTTTGTTAAAAGTGCTGTGGTGGCGTGGCTGGGTTCACCTGCATTTCCATGCCGGACAAGCCTGGGTACCTGATAAGGAAAAGTGATTGCCCTCTTCCTGCTCCCAGCTTGTACCTTTCCATCCCCACACCTGGAAGACAATAGGCTGTGCCCCAAGTGTGTTCACAGGAACAAGGTCTTAACTAAGAGCCTCCAGTCATAAAGGGAGGATCTCTTTGGTTTGGGCTAGCTACTGGCATCACCACAGAACTGCGGCTGACCCTGAAGCCCACATCTTTGCCTTTGAAGGTGCCCATCTCACTCAGAAATTATGGAACGTTGTTGGTTAAGTATAAGCAGCTTGGAAAAGAGAGTCAGTGAGGCCACCAGAACCCAACAGGCACACCTCTACTCTGCTCTTGAACCCTGGGGAGTGGCCTTCTGCTCTTGTGTGAAGATAAGAAAGCATCCTACTTGTTTTACTGTAAGGAGGTCCTGGGGCAGGAATATGACAGCTCTTGTCACCGTCATAGCAAAGTTCAGCAGTCAGCTGTAAGGACTTATTTAGCCTTGCCTGTAATCTCCGCATGCCCTCTCCTCTAGGTTGTGTTGTCTTATTAGTGTTTAGGATGTGGGTTTGTTTTTTTCTGTTGTTGCAAAATAATATACCAGATTTGGTTTGTGGCTTTTGTTTCTTTTCCTGTTTGACTACTTTTTCCCTGAATTCCTTATGCTGCTCTCTAGAGGCAATGTTTAAAAGGACTTTAGAATAAATAATGCTTGGAGCAAAGGAGGGCAGGATGGGGCCACCATCCCAGGGCGGGAAAAGACAATCCACTGACTCCGCTGTGTCGACGGTGTCATGGGAGTGAAAACCATCACCGATTTCTGTCCCCTTATGGCAGGCATGCACAGTTATTCTGAAAGGTGTTGAGTGCACAACAAACTTACCTGTTGCTTGGCTGCCCTGGGGGATTGAGTTAGGAAGGAAGGTTTCTGAGATTGTTAGGTTCCTCTCCAAGTGTCACCTGTTTGTATTTGATGTCATACACTAAACTGCCACCCCACTTGTGCCTCCCTCTCTTGTCCGAAGTGGACGTGGAGCTGGAGGGTCAGTACTCCATGTGCCTTGGATGAAGCCCGTGACAGAGGGATGGCTGGTGTGCTCATCTTCCTCTTGGGGGTCAAGATAAGGTTCACACTTCAGTTTTCTATCTGGATGTAGAGTCCAACCACCCAGACAGGGCACTGCCCACAAGTGTGTGTGGGGGGGGGAGGGTCATTCCTGCATGTAGATCACAATAGAAATCAGGGCATGTGATATCTGTATAGCCCAGCCCTCCCTTTTCCCTCTAAAAGGACATGGAAAGTTCTAAGAGTGGGTACAGAAGTCAGAGGACCTGCCAAAACATTGCTGGAGAAAAGTGAGTCTTCGTAAAGAAATCCTGTGTCCTTGTTGACAAGGCGCGAGTGAATGCGCCCAAGCATTCCTAGCCAGGAGTGGTGGGGAATGGTGAACAAGGTATAATTTTAAGTAAATTTAATAAAATTCCCAAGATTATGCCAATAAAAAGGGGTGGGGGGGGCTGTGGTGGTTTGAATGAGAACTGTCTCCCCTAGACTCCAGAACTCCACTTGCTTTCCAGTTGGTGGCACTGTTGGGAGGATTAGGAGGTTCAGTCTTGTGGCAGGAAGTACATCACTGAGAGAGGATTTGAGGTTAAAAAGCACCATCTACTTCCAACGTGCTGTTTCAGGTTCACAGTTCAAGATGTGAACTCCAAGCAGTCTGTTCTTACCTTCATACCTGAGCTTGTCCTGTCTCTGTATCAGCACAGACTCTTCTTCTGGACTGTAAGCCAAAATCAACCCTCTCTTCCTTAAGTTGCTTTTGGTTGTGGTCAATGGCAGCAAAAAACTAAATAATATATTAGTTGGTATCAGAGAGTTGGCTACTGCTGTGCAGAACCTGATGTGGTGGCGGTAGTTTTGAAAAATGTGGAAAACTTTAGTACTGTGGAATAGAAAAGCACTTGAGGATATGAGCTCTGAAATTCGCGGTGCTGATCCCATGCTTACGGCCTGCTGCCATGCTGTGCCAGTCATTATGAACTCTAATCATCTGTAACAATTAAGCCAAGTGTTGTGGTTTGAGTAAGACTTACTCAAAAGCTCATATATTTGAATGCTTAGTCACCAGGGAATGGAACTGTCTGAGAAGGATTAAAAGAATGAGGAGGCATGGCACTATAGTTTCTGCTTCAAGTTCTTACCTGAGTTACTGCCCTGACTTCTCTAAATGGTGGACTGTAATTTGTAAGCTGAAATAATTCCTTTCCTCTCCAAAGCTGCTTTTGGCCAGATGTTTGTCACAGCAACCAGAATAAAAGTATAACATAAGGTTATCATTAATAATTTGTTACATATTTTATAGAGAACTTAAGAGAGAACTTCCAGCACAAAGAAATGATATAGTTAAAAGAAGTGTGTGAGGTGTGGTGGTGAATGCCTTTACTTCCAGCACTTAGGAGGCAGAGGCAGGCTGATCTCTGTGAGTTTAAGGCCAGCCTAGTCTACAAAGCAAGTTCCAGGACTGTCAGAGCTATATAGGTAAACCCTGTCCCCCAAAACAAATAAAGACAAATGCTAATTACCTTGATTTGACCATAAAAATCACATAACAAATGTTTACACTGTAACACTAGTTTTTGCATCAATTACTTTTTGAAAATTAAGAAGGTTCTCAGCTAATGAAAACCATTTAGAAGTTTGTCAAGATACATCTCTTAGAGAAAACAAAACAATGTCCTTTGTAGGTATTTCCTATAAATACAGATACATAAATTTAATGTGAAAATTACAGCCACTAGACAGGAAACACAGTATGACACCTTAATGTTCTGTAATCTTTTTGACCACAGCAGTATACCATATAATAATGGTATTGCTACACAGTTCTAACCATTTGTTAAGGTAAACATTTGTCTCTTGAGTGTTTTTCTGTTAGAGAAATAGTGTAAGGACCATCACTGTACAACACTGCTTTGTATGGTATGAGTTTGTCTGTAGGGTAGAATATAAAGATTGAAATTTTGACTCAAGTAGCAAGTACAGTGGCAATTCTGCTAGATTTTAAATAGGTTGAAACAGTGCTGTCTTCGGCCTGAGGTTTGCCATCAGTGACTCATTGTTTTCAGTAGCTCATTTTTACCTAAATGTCCTAGTTTAGGATAAGGGGAGATGACCTGATCACTTCCATTACCTACAATGAATGGCCTCAAGCACATTGTGACACTGTGTCTATCTGTCCACTAAGTAATCACTTCATATTTCATTGAAGTCCTTGTCTTCTTTTCCCTGTACCATAAAATGTCATTACCATAAACATATGACAGGGTGAGATGTGGCAATGGCAATTCTCCAGAGTTGCGTTGCTTTTCTTTTCATAGCGGCTTGGCTATTCTTGGCTATTTGCATTTCCTTTGAATCAGTAGTCACTTTACACAGAAAATCTGCCTGCAGCCTTGATGGAGATTGCATTTTAATTCACAGATCAGTGTGAGGAAAATGATATGTGGAAATTGCTGCAATCTTCCACTTCATGAACTTGGTTCTTCATCCATTTATACTTTCTGTAATATTTCTAAGAATATCGTATTTATACAGTTTAGAAGACCTCATCATTACTAAGACACAGCATCCCTAGAACCTACTTCACCACATACAGCATTTGTAGTTGTGACTCAATTAAGGGTCATGATAGGGAGATTATTTTGGGTGAGGGTAAATTCAATCTTAAATGTTCATCTGAGGAAGGAAAAGGAAAGAGAGAAGGTGTGTTTATGAGAGAGAGAGAGGCTCCTAGAACCCTATTGCTTTTTTCCCTGTATCTAAAGCCATTCTCCCTTCTAGTTCTTCCTTCCCATACTCTCTCCCTCCCTCCCCTTCCTGATTTTTTGAGACAGTCTCACTATATAACCCTGGTTTGGCCTGGAATGCAGTATGTGGAGAAGGCTGGTTTTGAACTCACAGGTACCTGTCTACCTTCCAAGTACTGGTATTGCAGGTGAGTGCCACTGGCAGTTCTGAGATTCATAAAAGAAAAATCAGAGAGCAAGAATCATGAAATACTTGTAAGTCTTCCTACCTGATAAGGATGTAAATAAAATTATAGGCGAGATGCAGAAATACATTTTGTTAAATTTGATAGGTTAAGAAAAATTAAAAGAAATGAGGATGGGAAAGGGAAATGCCCATTCATAAGCTTTTCCTAGGAAATCAATAGAGTAAGTTTATGACTTACTTTCAAATACAGACAAAAACCAAATGAAAAATCCCTAATTTTCTGGATGAGCATTACTACAGCTCCATCGGAAAGTGTGGGGCCAAACTTTAAAATTAAGCTTACACACTGCATCAAGTACAATGCCCCAATGTAAATGTGGGGGACATGTTAATTTCTCATAGCATTACAGTGAAAACAACAATAGTTTTTTAGAACAAATGTTTATTTAAGAATTAAAGGTAAACAAAAACATAAAGCATAGAGGAGTACATGGACAGAATATAATTTATCTTATTTGGTCTGAAATCTTGAAAAGTTACTCTAACTACTTACCTGAGGTAGATTTGGGTTGGCACTGCTTCAAGGGAACCTCCATCCATCCCAAAAGTTACCTTCTAGCTTTGGTTACAGGCTCCCACGTGATCCTCTCCAACCTCAGGTTATGCTAAATAATACCAACACCTTCTCACCACAGTTAAAAGGCCTCAGGCCTGTTTTACATCCTCACAGTTCTGTTTGAGGAATGGTCCACTGTTAATCTAATTAGAAACTATAGACAATTACAAGTGAGACAGGCGGAAGGAAGGGTAAGTCACCAAACTACTAATACTTTAAACTTTCTCTCTTTCTCCATGGTCTTTCTCTCTACTGACTTATTAGCAGCCACAGTGACTTTTTTTTTTTTACTGCCATTATCATACACCCAGTATTATGTTACATTTCACAATTATCAAACTTCTGCCAGTTGATAGGCATGATTGCATGATTTTTCCCAAAGAGAAAAAACATATTTTGTGTGTGTTTATCACAATAGGAAAATTTTCACAGTACTAAAGTTAGTTGTAAAAAATTACTGAACGTGTCAGATCAAAAACACTGACAGAGCCAAGCAGTGGTGGTGCATGCCTTTAATCCCTGCACTAGGGAATCAGAGTCAGGACAATCTTCAAGTTTGAGGCCAGCCTGGTCTAGAGCTAGTTCCAGGACAGCCAGGGCTACACAGCAAAACACACACACACAAACAAAAAACAAAACAACAAAAAACCCAAACAAACAAATGATACAACCTGTTTTCTAAAAGGAACTGGAACCAGATTCCTTACTGAGCTAAATTCACTGGCTTTAAGATTATGATTACCAAACAACAATCACGTTGAGAGCTTACAGTCACATGTAAGGTAGCATCAGACCAATTTCATGACTCCAAACACTAATAACCCCTAGAGTACTGGTGTTCACCAAATTAATTACAACAAAACCAGAGGACTGTAATTAGCAATAAGATAATTAGTCTCAAATATGCAGGAACTTAAAATATTTGTATTAAAAATATTTTAAGCCAAAAAAAAGAAAAACAATGAGAAGTGACCATTAGATGGTCACTTAGAAGCTTGGGTCATAAGCTAGCCAAAGAATGTTAAAGACAATCAATTAGCCTACTGTACTGACACAATGTTTATCCTTAAAACAGGTGAATCTGCCAACCACTTCTCTAACATTTAGAATCCTGCATTCCAAACCAAGAATATACCTTATATTGTGTTGACTGCAATCCTTTCCCTGGGATTAAACTGTATTTTTCTTTCCTTGACAGAACTGAAATAAATGAAAAAGAACTGTGTCATTATGAAGTTTATTTGCTGCAAGCATCAGGATAATAGAATTTATATATATATTAGCTTTGGAGTCAGGATTTTGACTCCAAAATTCAGTGTCCTGTTGTTCCTCTATTAAGAATGCTTCACTGTGTCTCTCCTCTTTCTCTGCCTTACAACTTGCCCCGATTCCTTCTGCTACACAGTGGCTGATATGGTATCTACCACTCAGAGATGAGGCAACTCACAAAAACCTGGATACTATGACACCATCATAACCAGTATCCTAGAATTTGTTATTTTTACTTGAAAAAAAACATGGATCTATAAATTTGAAATTTCAAAAACCAGTGATAACTCAAAAAGATACTTAAGGGTCAACTTTGGACAACTTAGGACAATTTTGAGGGCAGCTCTTACTAAGTAAACAGCTGAGTATTCTGCTTTCTGCTGAGGTTGATCATGCAAACAGGAAACTACTGAGATTTTTAACCCAAACTTAAGTACTCCCTAGGTTCTTAGCAACCATTCCCATTCTAGCCAAGATATTCTTAAAAAAAAATCAAACAAGAAAATGGAAATCCAAATTCAAAGCACTCCTTTCTTCCAACAATAACCCATATCCTACCTTATAGACAAGATTACAGTCCTTTCCTTTATTGGATTTATGTTTTAGAAGTGAAACTAGAGCAATCATTAAGTGGTTCAGACAAAAAAAAAGAATCTTTACCTGAGTTACCCTCCCAGATCCATGCTGACTTGCCCCAGCTCCTCCAAAACAAGCTTCTAGGTCACTAAGACAGTATTTCTATACAACTCTATTTAGTTTTTTTACAATGTGGTTCAACTATGAGACAGCTCTTCTTAAACACAGTGTTATGTACAGATTCTCACCCACAGCTATAACTCTCACTGGAGCAACTTTCCTCAATAGAACTGGTTTTCTGAGGCCCAACTAGGTAAGACCTGCTAGTTTCTCAGACACAAAGCATTTATGGGTTTTCACTGATGTGAGTTCCCTGATAAGCCCCAAGAGCTGAAAATTAATAAGATTTTCTCATTCAGTTATCATTCCTCTGATTTTTGTATAGGAGGATGCAAACCCAAGTAAGACTCTCCAACAAGTGTTTTTGCCACACTCAAGACAAATATCCATTTATACCACTATGGCTTCTCTGAGGGTTAAGAAAGTCAGAATTCTAGAAGCTTTTTCCTGTCATTTCTGGGGCTTCTCCCCAGGGTCAATTTTCTGATATCCAGTAAGGTGTTCATACTCTTTGAAGTACTGCTGACACAAAGCATTTAAACAGTTGTTCTCTGGTGTGATTGTCTTGTAAAGATGAGGGCTTAACACTGCTGGAGAGCTCTCATACTGCACATGTAAGGCTTCCTACCTGTATGACTCTTCTTTTGAGGAAGATTTTCTAAAACCCAGAGCATTTGTTTAGCTCTTCACAAGTGTGGCTAATAAAGGTGTCCTAAGATGGTAGACTCTCTCTCTGGTCCCCAATGACACCTGAGATCTGAGAGAAATCTGAAATTCACCTAGAAGTCTTTCTCTTAACGAATTCTGATGTATACGTACATTTTTAAAAGGTTATGTGACTTCTTGTCAAGATATCCGTGAGGTTTCTGATGCATGAGAGCTTAGATCAAGACCTTTTTCACTTACATTATAGATGTACTCTTCATCAATGCGCATTGTTTGACCTTGAAGAAGGGCTGAGCTATGATGAAAGCTTTTATCACAAACACTGTATTTATAATGTAGCTCTTCTGTTTGAGTCCTCATTTTCTGCTGGGCAATGAAGTCCATACCTAAGAGGAAGCCACTCTCACACATAGACCATTGATGTGGTTTTTCTTCCATGTGAATTCTCTGATGTACAATGAGGTCTGAGCTACAGTTGAAACTCTTCTCATATTCAAGGCATTTGAAAGTATGAGTGTGAGTTGCCTGATGCCTAATTAGGTTGGCACTCCGAGTAAAACTTCTCATACACTCCAAGCATTTATATGGTTTCTCACCTGTATGGACTCTCTGGTGTACAATAAGGTCAGATTTCTGCCCAAAGCACTTCTCACAGGCACCACACTTATACGGCTTCTCCCCGGTATGAACTCTTTTATGGACAATGAAGGCGGAACGGTGCCGATAACTCTTCTCACATTTGTTGCATTTGTAGGGCCTCTCACCAGTATGAGTCCTTTGATGGCTAATAAGATCTGATTTTCCACTAAAAGCTTTTTCACATTCCAGACACTTAAACGGTTTTTCACCTGTGTGAGTTCTTCGGTGCCTTATGAGATTTGTACTTCGACTGAAGCATTTATCACACTCATTACACAGATAAGGTTTCTCACCTGTATGGCTTCGCTGATGGACAAGCAGATCAGAGCTCTGACCAAAATTCTTGCCACAGATGTCACAGGTATAGAACTTTTTACCTGCATGTGTTCTCTGGTGTCCTGAAAGGGCTAAGTGGTGCCAAAAGCTCTTCTCACATTTGCTACACTTATAAGGTTTCTCGTAATTATGGATCCTCTGGTGTGAAATAAGATCTGAACTTTGGATGAAGGTTTTTTCACACATATCACATCTATACGGTTTCTTCCAGTATATGATCTCTCAGTTTTCACAAAAGCTTTGTTCACATTCAAGGCACTGATATATTTGATTATCTATTTGAGTAATCTCATGTACATGAATATAAATCTTTTTCCCCTGCTGAGGGCATACATGGTATATTTTTCTTTTTTTGAGTTCTCTGGTTACATTTCTCTTCTGAAGTGTACATTTTCTATGTTTCCCTCCTAAGTGGTTTTCCATTGGTCTTCTTGACCCCTGTTTTCATAGTCATTTCACTGGTAACTTCAAAAACATATTTGTTTCAAACCTTTCCTTCATCAGCAGTTTGCATTTACAATTTTCCAGCATTATTTATATTAATTTCTTACTTGGCACCTCAAAACCTATAAGACAAAGTAGAAATATTATTTATATTTCTATCACTAAAAAGTTTCAAGGCCAAAATCACCGCAGGAAAGACTGATAGAAACTCTTTATTGGGGCTGGAGAAATGGCTAAGTGGATTAAGGTGTTTGCTGCCAAACCTGATGACCTGCATTCTACCCCTACAACCTATCTACGTGGTAGAAGTTGAGAACTGACTGTCCTCCAATAGCCACACTGATGCCATGTGGCTCCCACCCACCAACCCCTTACACACACTGAATAAATGCAAAGAAAGGGAAGGAAGGAAGGAAGGGAGAGACATGGAAAAGAGAGGGGAGGAAAGAAAGGGTCAGGTCAAATTTAGGTTGTCAGTTTTCCATAACAAGCATTTTTACCCACTGAATCATTTCACCAGCCCTCATCTATTTTTTAATAATTTTGTGACTAAAACAAAGTTTGTTATTTGAAATTTTCATAGCATAATTCTGGCAATCAAACTTTAAAAAATTTTTGGATTAGGGAATATGCAATTTGTGGTTTTCTTCTCTGCTATTGCAAACCTGAGAGACAATACACACAATAAAACACCAATAGGAGTTCATTATCTTATCAACCTGGGTAATTTGAAAACTAGGGCACTGGGCCAGCAAGATGGCTCAGTGAAAAGCCAGGAGGCCTAATCATTCCCTGGGCTTACATGGTAAAAGGAGAAAATTGATTTCCATAGGTTTCCTTCTGGCCTCCACATGTGCACACATTTACACATATAAATAAACAAACAATAAAATTTGGGCCCTTCTTTTGCCTTCCTTTAGCTGTGAAGTCAGTACAGGTTTAATAAGCAGTACACATGAAGAGCTTAAGTTAGCTTGGATGACTCCATTTTGAGATAAGAAGCCATCTTGTGCACACCTGTGACCACAGAATGTGTACTTGGCAGAAAACAGAGTTAACTCTCTTAGCAACAGCTTCCAGGAAACATCACAGAATAAACACTTGGTAGAAAATAGAGATAATTCCTCTGGCAACAACCAATCAGAATCGGGTGGGAAAATTCTCCCCAACATTCCAGAAGTAGTTTAGAAGAATAGCCATTGTAAGGTAAGCTTCAGCAAAAGTGTCACCTCGCCCCTATGACTTTTACCCAATCCTGTAACGCCAAGGCATGACCCCCCCCCCCCCCCGAGCTTGCAGTTTTTCCCTTTAAAAACCCTGTTCACCCAGGGCTCAGGGTCCCCCTTCTCTACTGCTGCGTCAGGGAGACTTGGGTCCCGTTTTAGAACACGTATACACTAAACCCTCATGTATTTACAGCAGAGTCGATTCCTGATAATTTTGGGGGGTCTCAAGAACTGGGCATAGCACACGTTTAGGAAGTAAACAAACCAAAGATGAGCATCTTCTCAGTCCTTCACACTATCATGTATAATCTTTTCACACAGCAACACTGTCTGTTACCTACTAATGTAAATATGATTTTCACCTTATTTTACTAAGAAAATGAAAGTGAGCAAGCAGAACAAGATTAAAGTACAGCCATCAGTGCACACCCACATAGACTTTCCCTGTGCTCCTGCCAGCACCTAGCAAACCACCTGCATGCTAAAGCACAGCTTGCTTCCTTCTCTCACCAAGGATGACAAGCTGCTGCTGCTCAATCATCTATGTAGGATTCCACCTGCTTTCGTCACAACTACATTCTGACAGCAGTTCTGCTGCCATTCTCCTGCATTATCAATCAACTTATTACATTCTACAGGACCTTTCTAGTTAGTAAACAGGCTATCCTTTCTCTTCTTTAAGAAATTTTTTTTAATTTTTTAAAAAATAAAATTAAAAACCAAACAAACAATACAACCAACAAGCAAATTCTCTCAACCATCCCAGCCTCAAACTAATTTTCCCATTCTGTTCTCCTTTATATTAGAACTTAATAAAAACAAATAAACAACAACAAAAATCTGTTAACTGTCTCCACCTCTTGTCTTCTAGGGTTTCTGGAACATATTCCAATTAGACATTCACCCCTAACTTGTACCCAAATTCCTTTAGAAACCTGCAAACATCAAGGAAACCTGACTCCTTGCTCCCAGCTTGAGCCAATTCTTTGCTTTTCCCCTAATCTGGTCTTTGTCATGGTTCAAGCAAGCAAGAACTATTTCCATTTCAAGGTCTTTATGTCCTTCATCACCCTCTCTCTCCCTTGCTTAAGGACTTTTCTTCTAGATGTCTTCAAAGTTTCTCTCTTTATTTAAATCTTTGCTCAACTGTTACATATTCTCAGTGGGGCTTTTTCTGACCACCTTATTCACCATTCCAACTCACAAACACCCTTTCCATCCTTTCTATTTTATTTTTCTCCACTGAATGTGGGCCCTAATAGACAAGAATCACCACACACACTTCCATTACTATTATTCAGTTTGTTCACTATTGTTTAACACCTAGGACAATGCCTGGTACATATGAAGTTCCCAAACTTACAACATATCTTCTTATTTGGCATCTATAGACTCCTGTATAAACTAAGAATCATTTGTTGCTCACTATACATCTACTTTTCTAGGCAGAGTATTCACAATGTATCAAAAAGGCCAAGTATCCAAGGAACAGATATTGGGCTGGAGCCTACATATAAATTTGTAAATGAAAATATCAAAACTCACTGAAAATGGCATGCTAGAGAATGTAAAAGCTCACCGAATAAAATGGAACAGAACTCAGAGAAAACAGCTCAAAAGGATCTCAAAGGCATACTAGGCACTTCCTGCTAAAGCGAAAATAGATGACTTACTTCATCAATCTACTACCTCCAGTTTTCTAATTTTCTTTTTTCCTTTTGGCTTTTTTCATGACAGGGTTTCTCTGTTTAACCTTGGCTTTCTTGGACTCACTTTGTAAACCAGGCTGGCATCAAACTCAAAACAATCCAACTGACTCTACCTCCCATGGCGCTAGGACTAAAGGCATGCACCATCATGCCTGTCTTCATTCTCTAATTTTCATTCAACACCTTTTATTATTTCCTTATGAAAGGCACAGACATTTACTCTTGCTTATTGCAGTGAGTGATAAATTTAACCAACAGAAGAAGTACCAATAAACAGATACCAGTGTTCCAAAAGTCACTTGGAAAAGCTTTAAAATTTAACTTTGGAGGATATGAGAACTGAATGTAAAGCATACAGATGTGTAGAAAATGTAGCTCCGTGCTGCAAATAGACAAAGTAAGACAATAATGTGCTTGTAAGGTTACCAAGTATAAGAAAAGGCCAACAGTCTTTGAGAAATGTAAGCTACATTACATTAAATATAAGCAGTCACAGTTGTGCTAAACAGTGACTATGTCCAATATTTTCAACATTCTGCACAGCAGTAGCCATCATTCAGATGTCTCGGCATCACAGAGAAACTCCTCACATCCTAGGCCCCTTTTCTCTGCTCATGTGATAGTATCCTACGAAGTATGAATACACTCATCAAGTAACTCCTTGTTAAACAGTAAAAATCCACCCTTATCACATAAGTGGATACTACTCTATGCATTTCTTACCAAATGGTGAATGAGTTCACTTTGTTGATTCATGCATGGTGAGTATCAGAGTGCTAAGGACTGCCTGTGGAAGGAATCCACATCAAACACTGGTTTGCTTATCTATTCACCAGAGGCCTTTTAGGAAACAGTTATCAGAAAAATCGCTAACAACATCTTGAGCAAAGAGCATTCTTTGTCCTTGTCAAAATCAACCCTCAAACCCTAAATATGAGGCTAAGTTTACAGAAATGAGCCCCTGGAATCTAATCTTGCCTTCTAGTCAAAGGAAGTAAAAAATGGCTTTTACACTGACAGAAAGCTCTCAATTCATCCAAAAATTTGAAGGATCGCTTTGCACTATGTTGTTTTATACCTCACAATTAAAGCCAAAATGTTGGCTTCATTTGAAAATTCATAAATCCACATCCAACCACTTCTCATTAGTTTCTGCTGCTAGCAATCTGGTTCAAACTACTCTGTCTTCTTAGCTGATTCTTATCTGTTGTAAGCCTAACTATGTGCCATTCCTAATCTCTACCATCTCAGAATGTGATATATTTATTTGGTCATATGATCGTTAAAGAATGACTAACGCTTCTAAGAATGACTAAATGAGGTCATCTGGATGGCCCTGATTCAACTGGACTAATGTTCTAACAAGAGATTAGGATTCCCAGAGTTGGCAAAGCAGCATACTCAGAAAGTGAAGACTATGTGAGGACACAGTGAGAAAGCAGCTATTGTAAGCCACGACAACCTCCAGACAAACTCTGATATTGGCTTTCTAGTCTTCAGAGTGTACAGGAAAAAAGTTGGTTGTCTGAAGCACTCAGAGTATGGTATTTTTTCTTTTTCTTTTCTTTCTTTTTTTTTAAATAGCAATTCTAAACAAGCTAACAAGCCATCCTTGTATTGCTACCCTATCTACACTTTCTATCCTGCAGCAGAACAATCCCATGTAAACAGAAAGCTAAATTACATACTTCTGTTCTTTTCAATAGTTTTTGGGGTTTTTGTTTCTCCCCCACACTCAAATCTTCACTGTCTCTCCGAACTTCTTCCTGACTCTTCTTACAGGGTCCAGCCACAATGGCTTCCCAAGCTGTTTCTCTTCTAGACACACTCTACTCAGGATTTTTGCATTTTCTTTCTTCTGTCCTTGGCTTTCTTTCTCCAGGTATGTGCATAGCTCTCTTAATAGCCCAATAACTATTTTTTCATATATCATCCCTTAATGAAACTGTTTCTAACCACTCTAATTTGTAAATTAACTCCAATGCCAATGTTACCTATCATCTGTTCCTGTTTTATCCTTCTCTACAGCACTTATCACATCCTAACACACTTCATAATTCACTTATTAGCTTACTGTGCACTGCTAAAAATATAGTAAAAAAGTTTAGTTTAGTGTTCTTTCCTAGTAGAGTAGTACTACGTACACATGGTGTTTAAAAAGCACTTGCTGTCATAAGTGAATTTTCAAAGAAATTCTGCTTTCTTGGGCTCGAGATGGCTTAGCAGTTAAGAATGCTGACAGCTCTTCCCAAGTACCCAAGTTTGATTCCCAGCACCCATTTGACAGCTCACAGCCCTTTCTCACTTCAATTCCAGGGGATCCAACACTCTCTTCTGGCTCCCATGGGTACCATTCCTACATGGTATATAGACCTACATGCAAGCAAAACACTAATATACATAATAAAGTAATAATTAAAAAATTATATTTTCTCCACACCCCAATAAACAAGAAGGTCTAAGACACCACAAAAAAAAAAAAAAAAAATTAGCTTACCTATAATCTAGACAGATGAAAAGCATCATTTACTTTCTGGTCTTGAGAAAATCAAAATTAAAAAAACAGCTTTCCATAAAATACAAGTACAAAATAAATTTTATACCAGATCATCTATATATAAAACACTTAATATTGACTAAACATTTCCCTTAATAAGAGGAAATGAGGGCTGAAGAAAAACTCAGCAGTTAAGGGACTCTTTTAAAATGTTTTTAATTGGGATGAGGGGGTGTCTGTGTTACAGCCCTTGCTGACTCGGAAATATCTCTGAAGAGCAGACTGGCCTCAAACTCAGAGATGCACCTGCCTGTGTCTCCCAAGTGCTAGGATTAAAAGTGGTACATGCCACCACTTCCTAGCATCCAATTGTAAAAAATTTAAAGTGCAAATAAATGCTATATTTTATGTAAGAAAGTAGAAATTTTTAAAAACTATATTTAAAACTAATTTTAAAAATATTTTTAAAACTGTACTTATTTATTTGATCAAAAATAAATTAGCACTAGCCTCTACCTCTACCATGGAGGCAAGAGAACTGTAAAATGACACAAAAGCAAATGACAGCTGAGTGTGGTGGCCCACAACTATAATTTCAGTACTTGAAGATAAGGAGGAAAACTGTCACAAGTTTGAGGCCAGCCTTTGCTATAAAATACCAAGCTGCCTGACCTATAAACTAAGGCCCTGTTTCAAAACAAACCAAAAGGCAATTTGTTCCAAACAAATAACAAGATCACCCAAAAGAAGGAAATAATAACTGATATAGAATGAGACCATGTAAATTCAAACTAAAGGCAGTATTAATAATAAACAATTAGTATTTTATTTTATTTGAGAAACAGTCTCATTATGTAGCTCAGGCAGGACTTGAACTCTGATCTGCTTGCCTCAGATCCCAGAGTACTGAGATCACAGGCACACACAACCTCCCAAACTGTATACAATTCATGAACTCTAGTTAGGGGGCTTTTCCTCATAGTACATACTGGTTGGTGTGTATATCAGAGTTGGATAATGGAACATATATTCCCCACAGTTACAGAAGGAAGTTACAAATAGAAAGAACAAGATTAGAATGAACGCTGTACTGCGGTTAGCTGGAATCAAGACGGCAGTACCAGGGTTAGGTCACAGTTTGTACTATATAGGGAAAACAGGTTTTTATCCTAATAATGTCAGCAGTCAGCTCACAGAAATGCAATCAGAGCAATAATGTCCACTACTGAACACTGAGACTCTGGGCTCTAGACACCATTCATCACTGAAAGGAATCAGGAGACGTGACAGATAACATGGTTTGCAAAGCAGTCTAGAATAAATATCTTTGTTGAACTAAACTGTAGACTGCTCAAACAAAAACACTGTATGTTGTTTTTTACTGTCTTGAGATGGGGATTGAACCCAAGGCCTGCACACACTTCACACTCTATCACTGAGCTACATATCCTATCCTTTTTACATTTTGAGAAAGGTTCTCCCTAGATTGCCTAGCTAGCTTTGTAGCTTACAATTCCCCTGCTTTAACTCTTTAACTGAGTTTGCTGAGAGCTTGGGAAATGAATCAGATTATTTCATTAAACTACCAGTGCAAAGCATCACAATTTCCCTCAATAGCCAAGAAAGTGTGGTGCACAAGAATAAACAAAAACCAATTTAAAACCAGGAAACAATTTTCTTATGCAACAAAATATGTTTGGCTATCAAACTTCAAAACAGACTATGATAATTCCCAAGTTTAAAATACTGTTTCTTACCACATTTAGAATAAAATCCAAGTTTTACTGCCCTTCATAATATGGAATTTCTGTCATTTTCATCCTCACAGGCACCTCATAAAGTTTAGATTCTTCTGCCTACACCCTGTTTCTCCATGTAGCTTTCTCCATTGTTTGATTCAAGTAGAAGATGGAAATTTAATACCTCAGAAAGCAGCACACCTTGACGACCCTACCTAAAACACTTCATGTCCCTTCATGTCACCTTCTGTCTCAACATCACTAACCAACTTTAAGTATTTTATGTATGTTCCTGTGCTTGTCTCTCCTACTATAACATAACATCTACTATGGTTAGGACATTGTCTTTTGGTTACTGCAGTATCTGTAACATTTAAAATATATCTGTTAAACAATTTTTTAAAAAAGTAAACAAGTATCAGAATAAAAAATGAGTATCATTATTTTTGGGTCTCCAACAAAACAAGGTAAGTTTCCATCTGCCAAACACAAACACATCCTCCAAATCTTAGCTCCAGGCTGGTGTCTCTAAAATGCTTTTCTTAACCCTCCTAGGAAGAGAGGACTTATCTCTTCAGGATCAGTATCAGACTGCATTTCATAAGCAAAGAACAGACAAAGTTCAAACAAACAGGTTGAGCAACAGAACTTCAGAACTCAGGAATCTTTTCAATTAAAGTATGTATGGGATGATCAAACAGTAAATATTTAAGTATCAGCTGAAAAACCATACTTGCTATATAGGTTTAGATTAGGGATCACCTCTCTTAGTTTTCACTGATTACATGGATTATGGACACCTAATTCTCCCAAGAACACTTTAAAATCTGATATTAACACAACTGTCTGCATTTTACCATAGAACACCTGTTGCTTATGGCAGTTGGCTAACTACCCCAGAACTCACAGGGAGGTAAGTAACAGACAGGGTTTAAATATCCATCCTACAGCCTGCCTGAGTGTTGGGCACAGTGCCTTCTTTGTATGGCAAACCAAAAGAGGGGCAAACCTACTGTGACTATTCATGTCTGCTGGAAAAGTAGAAAGTGTACTTAATTGTTATGAAAGGGCCGCGATGTTAGCAACCAAAAAGATCATCTTTCTTGTCCCATCACTACTCCAAAATTCACTTTTGTATAGAAACAAACACGTCACTTACCGTAACAATAACTCAACGACTTTTTCTTTTGGGTCCACAAGGTCTCTCTAATCCAGAGCTATTCATTCTATTCAACGCTTCCCTCTGCTAGAGGAAAAAGCAACAATGTTGAACATGGCTTCAAAGCTTACAATTTTTTTTTTTTTTTTACAGCCAGCTATTTAAATATTGTCCCATGGAGCTGAGACCGGTGGTGCACACCTGTAATCCCAGTATTCAGGGAGGCAGATGAAGTCGGATCTCTGAGTTCGAGGGCAGCCTGGTCTACAAAGTGAGTCCAGGGCAGCCAAAGCTACACAGAGAAACCCTGTTTTGTCCCATGCACTCTGCAATCCAAACATGATCCTTCAGCCAAATTTTGTCTCTTCGCATGTTTGCTTATACCATTACTCTTTCAAGAAGCAGTTCCTTTCTGACCTGCTCTATACAAAACAAGAATTCTTCTAGCTGAGAGATTTTTAACTTCCCAACAAAGCCCTGGGCCTTGTCTTTCTCCTGCTCCTTGTTTTGGTATCACTTAATTTTGGTGTTAAGACAGGAAGAGTCTCATGTAGCTGAGGCTGGCCCTGAGTTCCCTAGCCTCCACCTCCCAGACGCTCAAGTGACTGATGGGCGCATTTATTATTTCAACTTCTAAGATCAAGGATTAATTCTTCGCGCACTAAAATCTGCAGAATTACGATACATGAATGCAATGTTACATAGAACCAGAGCCCCTAAAAATAAACGTCCATGGAATGCTTTACGCAGACAGATTCCGCGGCAGCTTAAGGCCTTAAGGCTGGGGGAGGGTCCACCCAAGGACTGTGGTTCTCCGCACATTCAGGAAGGCTACAGACTGCCTTCGAGCCCGGCTCCACACTACCTCCAGGACAGTCCAACGGATTCTTCTCCCAACTTTTCGTCGATGGTGAACTCAGTGGCTCAGCTCCAGCACCACCACTACCGCTGCCAAAGGCCGCTCGCTTACCCGGCCGCCTGGTGTGGCACTTCCGGTGATGGGACCCTCGAGCAGGGGCTTCCGGGACCACGCACTCCGCGGCGGCGGGTTTCGTCCCAGCGTCTGTTAGGGAGGGAGGGTGGAGCCGAGAGGCTGAAAGCCATTCACAGGGTACCAAATAGGCAAACGGGCCCACCCGCGCCACAACACCGAAGCAGAGAGCCCTCACCCGCAGGGAAACAGCGGCGTACCCCCGCCCTCAGGCACGTACCCACTCCTCACAGGGCTTCCGGGCTCTGGGCCAATAGGCACCGAGCCTCCGGAAATGGGCGGAGCCTGAGCGCGCCTGCGCCCTGTCGCTTTCCGGCCCGCAAAGCCAGCTTTTGACCCCTGGAATTTGAGACCCAGGAGGGGGCCTACTCTGTAGTCCCTGACTGACTGAAAACATGCCCCAACCCGGGGGCAGCTAGTCCACTGCAGCTCTGGACTTCTTTCCCCATCGCTTTCAAACCTGAAGCCAGGAATGACATCCCAAGGATAGATGCTGCTTCCCAGACTTAAACACCCTGAAGAGCGGGAGAAGTGTGAGGTTCAAAGCTGTCTTACCTGAGCTGCTAAAATATCTAACCAGTACACTGTGGCTGATGCTGCCTGTCATCCAAGAGGCCAGTGAGCAAACAGGAATTGAATCTTGTGTGTGTCTGTGTTGTTTGAGAGTTTAAGAGCTGGTGATTTAAGAAGGTGGCAAATTGATTTGTATTCATCTTCAGCCAACAGGTTATAGAAGGACGACAGCTGACTTGAAAAGGGATTATTGGAATAAACCGGGTGACTAGTTTTTCTAGAGCCCTCTTGGGAAGATCCCATGAGTAATGTGTTGGGTTTATTAATTTTTCTTTCAGTCCTCACTCCTGACTCAAGAACTGTTCGACTCTGCCAGCAGGCTCCAGAAATTAAGTATACAGTTTTTTTTTTTTTTTCTTCCCCCAGCACTATCTATAGTCAAAATTATTTACTTAATTTATCTATTATCCTGGGCTGTCCTTAAACCCAATCCTGCTGCCTCCACCAGTGCTGAAATTACCAGCCTTTAATTACAGGAATTAGGAAGCAAAGGCAGGGGATCTCTGTGAGTACAAGGCCAGCTTTCTCTACACAGCAAGCTGTAGGCTAGCCAGTACTACATAGAGAAGCCCCGTCTCAGACAGACACACACACACACACACACACACTTCCTCTGAATCATAAGCTTATCTCCAAGCAACTAAAACCATTCTGTGGTTACTATTGAGGTTAGTCTCCGCCTATGCTATTAACTACAGCTTGCACACAGAAAACACATCCTTCATGAATTCTAGTGGGTGGTTGTTGCTGTGACCCTATGTTTCACCATAGGTTTTTAACTAACTCATAGCAAAGTGTGGTGTAAGTGTAAAAAAAAAGTCTAAAAATATGCCTTTGAGGTATTTGAGGAGTTGTGCGTATCTGAATGGAAGATGGCCCAACTGTAGCATAGTAACCTCAGTACCATGTGACCTAGAGCTAGGCTTTGAAGTTACCAAATTGGCACAGAGAAAATTAGAACTAATGTATCACGAAGTGGGTCTGATATGGAGACTAAACCAGTAAGCATTTAAAAGGCTCCCAAAGGAAAAAAAAATACACACTTGCATGCATTATATAAAAGCATATTGTATGCCTTATAGGAAAATAGACAAAATCACCTGTCAGAGCACAACTACTGATTGATTATTGTCCTTTTTCAAAACGCATTCTTATCTTCACCCTTATTCCTTATACAGCATGTCCATAGGCTCCCACCGAAGAAATGTAAACACATTTTTCATTACAGCAGATTAGAGGTGGATGATTTTTGTGTTTGTTTTTTTTTTTTTTTTTTTTTTTTTTTTGGTTTGGTAAAGGCAAAGGTCTTATAGAGCAGGTGATGTGTACAAGCAGAATATACAGAAACAGCAAGCTCACTATCAGGGTATATAAAGGGTGTGTGTGCACGTGAGTATGTGTGCTTTGTGTCCCTATAGGAAATAACATAGGAGGAGATGATATTGGTTTAGTTTTGTTGGACTGCTGTTGCTTCCTATACACCTAAGGGTATATAGGTTTAGCAACTACACTTTAAAAAAAAAAATAAAACACTTTTGAAAGATTTTTTTTGAATGGTCATAAAGGAAGAGGCTGTCATCAGTTAAGCAGTAAACAAAAGCTAAGAGTAGAACGTAAAATTATCTCACTAGATAAACTCTGCCTTTTTTAGAAGTTCCTGCCACATCTGAGTAGGAGGATGTCAGCATTTCTAATGGACTCGCCCTCACTGGAGTGTAACTTTTACTTTAGGAAAAAATATGGAACATAAAAAGTATTGACTAAGAATTATTTTGAAACTCATTGGACATGGATAATAGCCTTAGTAAGAAATAAGAATCTCAAGAACTCAGCCAAAAAGAAAGAAAGAAAAGTATTCAGCCAAAAAAAAAAAAAAAATGTTTGCGATGCAGCTCAGTGGTAGAGTGCTAGCCCACAGTGCTGAAGACTGTGGGTTTGATCCTCAGTACCAAAAATTAAAGAAAACAAATTTATTTTTCCCTTTTTAAAATGTTTAATTATGTGCACCATGTGTGTGCGTGTCCACATGGGGTTCGTGCAGACGAAGCTGGGCATGGTGGGACGGGGGGCAGAGGGAAGCGGATGCCTATGAGTCTGAGGCCACAAAGAGAGTTTACAGAGTTTCTGGACAGTCCGGCTGTTACACAGAGAAACCCTGTCTTAAGAAACCAAAAAAATTAAATAATAAATAAATAAGATAGAACTCAGCAAAGAACACCAGATCCTAGGGAGATGGAGTTACAGATGAGTTACCTGATGTAGGTGCTGGGAACAACACTAGAGTCCTTTTCAAAAGCAGCAAGCACTGTTAACTGCTGAGACATCACTTCAGTCCCAATTATTGCATTTTCTCCAGCTCAAAGAAAGTAAAGGTTTATTCCTAACTACAAATCTTCCGAATAAATCAAAACACTTAAGTTTTCTCATAATAATGTAGAGTTGAATTGTTTTGTAAAGTGTGAACAGTATATAGATAAGTCAGCAATATCAAGTCATGTCTTGTCTTGTTGAATGTTTAGAGGTCTTGCTCCACCAGAGAACCACAACCCCAAGATAATTCTTACAGTACCTGTATCGGTTTTTTTCCTGACACTGTGGTGAAACACCACGACCAAGGTAACTCATAGGAGAGTTTATCTTGGCTTATCATTCTAGAGAGTTAGAGTCCATAATGACAGGGACAGCATGGCTGCAGGCGAAGAGACGGCACCAGGAAGCTCACATCCTCAAGTGTTTTTCTAGTCAAAAGCCCTATCGTTTTCCACATTCATCAATTCTTCACAGCAACCGCTAACACTCTGATAGTATCTTCTATATTAGCTACTTTTCTTTTGGTGTGATAAAGCACCGACCAGAGGCAACTTTGAAAAAGGATTTTAGCTTGCAGTTCCTGAAGGGTAAGAGTCTGTGACGGCAGAGAGGAGGGATAGCAACAAGCTTAAGTATGGCGGCAAGAACAGACCACTTGAGGTCCACATTTTGAACTACGAACCTGAGACAGAGAGAACACGCAGGAAGTAGATGGTGTTTTTTAACCTCAAAATCCAGTCTCAGTGACGTACTTCCTGCAGCAAGACTGAACCTCCTAATCCTCCCAACAGTGCCACCAACTGGAGACCAAGTGGAATTCTGGAGCCTGAGGGAGACAGTTCTCATTCAAACAGCGCCCTTTTGTAACATGTTTCCAGAATTTTTAGGCACCAAAACTGTACCTTTAAGAAAGAATATCTGAGTGGTGAGCTGGCTCAGTAGGTAAAGGCTACTTACTGACAACCCAGATGACCTAGGTTTGATCCCCTAAATCCACAGATGGAAGGAGTAAACTGACTCTCCAAAGTTGTCCTCTGTCCTCCACAAGAACGCATAAGATAAATAAATGTAGGGGGGAAAATCAAAGGGTATGTCTTGGTTTCTTTATTATGCTTTTAAATTAAATTCTACTGCAAATGTTACTCAAGAGTATCACAGAAATGTAAAAATGCAGGTAATATAAAAGTAAATGAAACAAGCCAAAATGCACAGACCTGCAGTCCCCCTATGCTTGACAACACAGTCTGAAATGCCTACAGTGCTGCCCTGATGTCATGCACTTTCTCTCTCTCTCTCTCTCTGTTTCTGTGTGTGTGTGTGCGCGTGCACGTTCGTGTGTTGTCTGTCTCTCTGTGTATCTATGTGTCTCTGTCTCTCTCTCTCCCTTCCTCCCCACATCCCTCTGTTGTCCATAATGGACAAAAAAACGAAAAAGCAACAATAAAAGAGATGTTTAATAAGAAAAACATTTTAAATTGTCAGGTAATCAGTCGACAGTGCTTTGTTCGCCCAAGACAAAAAGAACCTCTAAAAAAAAAATGTAGAAACTTTGAGAAGCAGATGGAAAAAGAAAGCTTCTAAAAAGCAAGAAAACACATTGGATAAGACATTTGGGGTTTCTTTTTTTTTTTTTTTTCCAGAGGAAAACTGAATAGAAATTCAACATCGCCAAAAGTCTAGGACTCTGGGGGCACACTGTTTTAATTTGTCATTTAGTAAATATGTAGCAGACACTTGCTCTGAAGCCATGCCTGTGAGGGAAATTCTATCCTCACATTCCTTACAAGAGAGGAGTAGCAGTTCTCAAGACAGATGTGACTGATCTACCCTCTGGGTTCTCCAAGGCAATGGTTTAGTTGTTGTTGTTGCTAGAACACATATCTTCAAACTTAGTGGGTCAAACAATGTGATGATAGTGATGATTTTTTTTTTTTTTTTTTTTTTTTTTGCATCCCACAGTTACATAGAACAAGATGTGAGTCCAAATTTCTCTCAGCAGTAGCTGGAGTGTTGGCTGTACCTATTCCATCAGGAGAATCCTTATTCTCTTTCCAGCTTCTAGATTTCATCTCTTCCTTCAATGTAACCATCTTCCACATTTTCAAAGCCAGCAATGTAGGGCCAGTAACTTCTCATACCTCTTTAAATCCCCTGCCATCAAATTACTATGGATAATATCACAGAGAAGTTCTCCATTCTTACTGACTAATGTGATGATACTGAGCTGACCTGGGGAAATCCAGAAAATCTCTCTGTGGTGATTTGAGTGAGAAATATCCCACTTTAGGCTCAGCTACTTTGAAGCCTTGGTTCCCAGT